ACGTAATAGTAGAGCTATTTAACTAGAAGAGTATATTTATTATAGAGAAGTAGACTATATTATATATAGATTAGCTAGTCTTTACACTAAGAAGTATAAAATAAGATATAATAGACTATACGTATTAATTACCTCTACTCTACCTAGGTAAGTATTATAGTCTATCTACTATAAAAAGTAGATCTCTAAGTATAGAGAAAACGCTAGTTATTCTAGATTAAAGTAAAGGTGTCTAATAAGAGTATCTAAAGCTCTTACTCTAGGCGCTACTAAAACTCTATAAGATTTCTCTAGCGTCTACTTACTTCTAGAAGTAACCTTTTTATAAATACTTTAATTAAGAAGTCTATAATAAAATATATAATAGAATAAATTTTTAAAAGCTCTCTCTAAATAAAATTAACGCCTTAGCTCTAAATAAAGTTACTATAGCTAAAGAATAGAGTTTCTTTCTTTTTCTACCTAGCTAAAATAGCTAGAGTTATTAAACGTACGAACTAAAAAGCTATAGTCTAACACTAGACAATCTCTAGTAAGCTAGAATAGACTAAAGATAGCTTTATAATAACTAATTTAGCTATAAATTCTCTATTCTAAGTCTAGTCTTTATATAATATACATAGAGCTTATAGAGGTAGAAAGCTTTTTTTTAGAGCTTTTATTAGTTATAATATATTACTTATAATTTTCTACTTAATCTACCTCTAGATCTAATACTCTTATACTATATTTAGATTACTTCTTACACTTACTATTCTCTCTATACTATAGTATATATATTCTTTATTCTTCTAAGATTAAATCTATTATACTTCTATACTATTTAAGACTTAGAATATATTATTAGTTAACTAAAGCGTTTACTAAAAGAAATAGACTTAGTAGATTAGCTAGCCTAGGTTAATAGAATTTAGAAGATACTCTCTACTAACCTATAGCTATAGGTAGATATATACACTAACCTATAAAGCCTATATAATGCTATTATAATAGCCTATACTCTCTTAACTACTTTCTTTAGTATAATCTCTAGCGCTCTTTTAGACCTTCTTCTAAGAGCTTTACGCCTAGTAACTAGTATAATACTTAGTTATAGTACGTTAGCTGTGTAGTTTTAAATTAGTAGATATCTATACTATAGCTAATATATAAAAGTATCTATTAACGCTTTACTAAAAAGTTAAGATATAGCTCTACTATATATATCTATTATATTATTATAGTCTAGCTATTCTAACGTATATTATAATATGTAGCTATATATATAATTAGATATCTTAGAAACTTAGATAATATATTCTCTATCTATATAGCAAAGCGCTACTCTAGAAGTTAACTCTACTCTTCTTTCTATTTTATTATATTATTACTTTCTAGAGACCTAATATCTACTTTTATAGAACTTACTTCTCTATCTACTACCTTATACTCTACTATCTTACTATAGCTAAACTTAAGCTATATTATCTATAAGGCCTAAGCTTACGTATTACGTTAAATTATCTAGCTATTATTTGCTAATCTTCTTAGTTATAACTACTTTTTATTTAGCTCTATAAGATTAAATAACTATTAACTACCTTTATTAAGCAAAGTTATACTATAATACTTTATTATATACTTTAATCTAAAGAATAGTACGCTCTATATTAAGAGTATATATTTATAAGATATTCTTACGTTTTTAAACATTAATAAGCCTACTATCTAAACTTATAATATATCTATTACTATAGTACTATCTATATAACTTTAAATTAGTACTATTAATCTCTTTGTATTTAAGATTATAACTTTTATATCTTATACTTATTAAGAATACGTAGCTAAACTTAAAAAGTACTTTATTATTCTTAGCTAGCGTATATTTATTATATCTATTATAGCGCCTAAGTAATATTATAGATAGAAGCGCTAAGCTAGCGTTATTCTTTATAAAGAAAAATTTACAAAGTAGCTATATTACTCTAGACTAATAGAGTAATTTATAATTATAGTATAAGCTCTTCTCTAGATACTCTTCTAGAAATAAGTAGGTAAATAGTAGTGTATAGACTTAAACTATACTATTATTAGGTAGATAGAGTAGATGTATAACGTATAGTAATATACTAAGTAATCTAGATAGTTACTTATATTCTATAAGCTTAAATAACTTTTTATATCTTTTTCTTCTTCTATTTCTAAGACACTATAAGTAATAATAGTATTAACGCTTTAGCTAAGATTAACGCGTTTATTTTAAAGCGCTATAGTACTTATTTTAAAGTAGAGATCTTTGCTTTAATATTAAATTATCTATTTATTATCTAGGCTTTTAAATTTACACTTACTAATAGTACGTTACTAGCTACTATAGACTTCTTACCTCTCTCTACTTATTTCTTAGAATAATTCTAGTAACTTAATAAAGATATCTATGTAACGTAGTATATAGCAGCCTAGTAGAACTATATTTTTATCTCTTTTAATATTAAGAGTAGTGTAGGTAGCTACGTAGAGAACTAAGTATATATTACTACTATAAGATAGTAATTAAAAGTAGAGTTCTATATTAGTGTATATATAACACACTCTAATTATATTAAGATTTACCTAAATTAGTAAAGTAGTAGTTTACTAGATACTTATAAAATTACTATTAACTTCTCTAGAAAGTTACACTTTTAATTCTTAGTATATAGCTTACTAAGTTTCTATAATAGCTTTTATTAAATACTATTAGGTCTACTACTACTAGCGCTTAAGTTTCTCTAATCTTGCGCCTATAGTAAGAGAGATTATATTAACTCTTAGACTAGTGTCTAATTTCTAGGCTAGACGCTATATACTAAATATAATAATAAGAATCTTATCTCTAGAGAAGATTTCTAGTATTATACTTTCTTTAAAAAGGTAATAGAGATCTAGTAATATATTTATACTATAAGTTACTAGCGTTCTATTCTAATTAAATTTAAGCTTATATAACTATAACTCTAATTAGCTAACTTTAAGCTACTTATACCTAGTAAGACGTAGTTATAATACTACTAGATCTTTATTTAGTATAAGATTAATAGCTTCTACTATTCTTCTATATTACTATTAAGTAGAGTTTATATTACGTAGCTTTTAAGTAGTTATCTACGCTACTACTTTATAACTTATAAATAGTGCGCTTAATATACACGTCTTACTCTTCTATTACTAATAATAATAGATTTAACTTCTTATTCTATAAATTTAACTATTAAGACTACTAAAGAAGAATATTTACTAAGTTCTTCTTTCTACCTAAGAGCGTTATGCTAGATAAGTTCTATATAATAGATGCTAAAGAAGTAGATTTTAATTAGATAGAGTTTAAACTATACTAGATTAAGATAGATATCTATAGTTAATAGGTATAATAGATATATAATATTGTATATTAGAAGGTACACTCTTACTAGATAAGAAATTAACCTAGTTAATTATAACTTATTTAAGTATAGTTAGTAGTAAGTCTATTAGAGTTATAGCTATAGTCTAAGTAGCTACTAATATCTATTAATTATAATATAACTTTCTACTAAAAGTTTTTTAATACCTTAATAGTGTAGTGTACTAGCTATCTTTAGAGTCTAATTATTATTCTTTTATAAACAAATCTACTTAGAAATTATATCTATTACTAGTATACGTAGACTATTAAAGAGTAGAAGGCTTTTTTTAAATATAAATATATTCTACGCACTATTAGCTAGCTTCTATATATTACCTCTATAGTACTATTTATACTATATATCTAATCTTAAGAATACACGTCTTATAGTCTAACGCTTACTATAGCTAAGTTTAAGAGACTAGATTTCTACCTCTAGAACTAGTTACTTATCTTTAAATCTTTTAGCTAAAATAGTTATTATCTCTATAGTTCTTTTCTAGTTATTCTCTTAGATAATATTAGTATAACTATAGAGTAATGCACTCTATTTAATATAAATAGAAGTAAAGATAAAGATTATAAATTTAAAGAATAAGTACTATTAGTTATAGAGCTTATCTACGCTTATTATAATTCTATAGACTACGCTATCTTAGCTAGTAGGCTATTTGTATTTAATAGAATAAGTTCTTAGTGTAAACTATAGAGTCTACTCTACGTATATTCTAGTATAAAGGTTTTTATTTATCTACGCTATAGCTTCTACTAAAGGTAGCTAAGTAGTTACTAGGTTATAGTCTAAGAACTTTACTAGGTACTTACTAATAGGCACGTATCTATTAATATTGCACTCTTATTATATAATTAGACTCTAGAAGATAATAACTACTATAATAATAATAATAGTAGAGACTAACTTATAGCTTTAGAAAGTATATATATTTTAGTATTAGTAGAAATAGTTTAAATTTATTAAGTTTATGTTATAAGCTAGTTACTTTATTACAATAGTAAGCTATAGTTATTTATTATAAGTTCTATAGTTGTACGTAGAGTATTATTATTATCTAATTACTATAAGAAGAGCTACCTTACTAGGTAATTCTTAGGTGCTAACAAGCTACAAGGCTTAGCCTAGGTACTAATAAGCTACAAGGCTTAGCCTAAGCTTCTCTAGGCTAAGAATATATTGTAAATACTCTTATTTTATAACCTTTTTAATACTAGTAGAGAGCTATACTAGACTTAGACACCTTTTTAATAATACCTACTTACTTATATATTTATCTTAATGTGTTGTAAGCAATAGTATATATATATAGAGATAAGTATAAGGTACAGAGCTCTCGCAGCCTACTCGCGATTAGGTAAGTTAAATAAGTAGGGCTTAGCGCGCTGAGTCCCCGGCTAATATTTTAAATTTACTTTGTCACGATACACTTACTTAGTACCCTTGTCTTGGGAAGCTATTAGCGAAAACGCGACGCTCTCTAAACTTAGAGCGCATACCTTACGAGATGGTTTTAACATTACGCTATAGCCTTTAGTTGCCAGTTTGCAGCGCGGGTTTGCTGCAGGACCACGATTCGCGATGGCTTCGGCCACCAAGGTCCAGCATTCGAAGTTCGATGCACAGGTGGGTGTTCTGCTCACACTCAGATGTCTGCATGTTGACAAACACAGTCTTTCAACCCCGGACTGAACGTTGTCTACCCTAGTGATGATCAGGCAACGTTAAAGTTCTCGGCCAAAATCGAGTAGGTGGCTGGAAATCCAACGCGAGAATCAAAAGCTAATACCTTCGAGGATCATCGCCATTCCAGGCTTGGGAGCGGACCCCGAATATACATGGAAGAAGAGCAAAGTGCATTGGCTTCGCGATGCCAACATGCTTCCGAAGAAGATTCCACATGCCAAGATTAGCGTTTTCCAGTATCAGTCGCAGTGGTTCGGAAAAGGGTCGGTCGACGAACGCATCGACAATGTCGCGAACAAACTACTACATAGCCTCGACAGGTCACGAGTGGTGAGTTAGCACGTACTCGTGATGACTACATGCTAACAACGTATTGGAGAACGAAACCAAAACGCCCATCATCTTCATCTCACATTGTCTTGGGGGCATTATTCTCGAGAAGGCCCTGCTTATGTCGAGATCACGCCAAACGGACTTTCCCAACGTGTATCCTTGGATCGCGGGATGCTTCTTCCTCGGTACACCTTTTCACGGCACGTCAAGCCAGTCCAAGGCAATGGTGCTAGCATCCATGGCCGAAGTCGCCGGCTGGGGTACGCCCTCTAGTCTACTCAAGGTGTTAGAAAAAGACTCGGATATATTGCGCAGTCTTCTCACTGAGTTTTCTTACATGGCGCGAGAGGCTCAGTTTCGACTACTTTGCTTCTGGGAAGAAAATGACAGCGACCTGGTCAACTACCTCGTGAAGGGAATCACATGGCTGAAGAGTAAAGAACGCATCGTGGATCAATCTTCGGCAACAATCGAATCATTCGACAGCATCTCTCTCATGTCGGATCATTTCCAACTCAACAAGTTCCCTGGGCCAAAGGACGGTAACTTCACTTCCGTCTCTGATGAGATCCGTGAGACAGCCAACAAGGCGGATAGCATCATCAAGACGCGTCAGAACATGCTTCGACAATCTCAAGTCGATGATCGTACCTACCACAGCATGATGGATGCCCTCGGCAAAGGATTCGCCGACGTAGAAGCCGCCGTAAAGGGCACGTACACAGGAGCGAAGGGTACGAAGTCATCATCAGTGCTGGAAATCGAAAACTTCCAGACCTGGAAGAATTCGAATGCAAGTCCTGTCCTTTGGATTCATGGAAAGGCTGGTACGGGCCAAGGTGCGATCGCATCTTCCGCTCTTGAACTTCTCCGAAATGAAAAAGCAGAAAAATCAATGATAATGTCGTTCTTTTGCGACCAGGGCGACACAATGCGACGATCGCTCAAAGGCTTACTGCAAATGGCTGTCCGCCAGATGATCGACATGGACCAAGATCTTGCCCGACACTTGCTTTCAGATTCTCGCAGCAGCAAAGACGCTGGAAAGCAAAGTTTTGACACCGAGGAGATACTCAAGGTGCCCACTTTATGGATAGCACTACATAAGATGGCGCGGGATCTGCCTAACACTAAAATCTACATCGTGGTATACGGTGTGGAGCAGCTTGCGGAAGAATCGTTGGAACAATTTCTGCAGTACATGTCAGAGACGCTAGAAACCGAGGTTGCGACAAATGACGAAGAGGAGTGTCAATCCGTCAGATGGCTGCTTCTCAATCGAAGCGGTCGCCCGAACATCGAGAAATGCTTGAGACCGCGATCGTTGGAGATCAATCTCAGCGACGCGGAGAACTCTGCGCAGATTAGTGACGACCTCAAAGCGCACATATCAAACAGCGTCGACGAGCTGGAGCTTCCAAAGTCTTTGGCATATTTCGTGAAGCGCCACATCTACTCGCGCGCGGAAGACAACTGGATCTACGTTAGTCTAGTCGTACAAGAAGTCAAGAATGCGTGGGTCCACGGATCTACACAGCACGCACAGATCCGAAGACTGTTGGAGTCATTTCCGTATGGTCTGACCGACATGTTTGAGCACGTGCGAAAGCGCGTCCTGAATCCACAAGCGGAGGGCCATGAATACACAAAAGAGATATTGCGTTGCAGAATCTCGGCATATGTAGCGCCCACCATGCGCGAGCTTGCGATCATGGCCGAGCTACCTCAGCAAGATCGCAACGACGTGAACAAGCTCAAAGTATACATAGTTCGCTGTGGTGCATTCTTCACCTTGAGGGGTAACGACTGGGATCTGGATAACAGCACTGTCGAATGGATCGACATCTCAGCACAGGAGCATCTCCGACAGTATGCAAAGAACGACTTATCTCTGGATCTTGACGATGTTCAGCATGGCATCATCGCGTTACGTTCGTTGGAGTATATATACGACGCCGTCAAACATCAAGACGCGGCAGAACACGAGCTAGAGGATGGCAATGAAGATCAAGAGGAAGAAAAAGAGGAAGAAGAGCCAGCGGAGGATCTTGAGGTCGAAGTAGAGGAGGCGATCGACACTACCGAAGCCGACAGCAAGTCAGTACACGATGGCGCCAGCCAACAAAGCGAACAGGACCAACAGGACCAACAGGACGAAGACGATGAAGATGAAGAAGAAGACGAGGCTGATTCATCCTCAGTTAGAGAAGCGAATGAAGACGAAGGTATGCTAGACGTTGATCTACAATACCCTGTTCGGTACTGGGTGGAACACGCGAAGCGAGCACCACCGGATGTGCTCGAAGAAATCGACTTTGGCCACTCATTCTGGCAAGAAGGTTCCGATGCTCGCCAAAGATGGTGGAAAACCATAGAAGAAGTTCACAACATGACAGATCAGAAAGACGTATCGCCACTCCATGTCGCTGTAATCCTCGAGTTCCCTGCTTTAGTCGACCACATCCTTAGCCACAGTGAGACGGCGGATGTCCACTTACAAGACTCTCTCGGGTTCCAGCCTCTGTATTACGCATGCGATGGTGGCTGTGGGGAGATTGTCAATGCGCTATTGGGAGCAGGTGCTGACATTGACTTCTCGAGCAGCAGCGCCAACCCTACCGCGCTGCATGCTGCGTCAAGGAACGGCCACTACGATGTTGTCAGCACCTTACTCGACCGCGAGGCCGATGTAAACGCCTCGTCGTCAGACCATGGAACAGCGCTTTACGCGGCTGCGGGCAACCTCGAAAATCGCGTCGTGAAGCTTCTGCTCGACCGCAATGCCGATGTCAACGTCATTGGTGGCCCTGGCCGAAGAGCGCTGAATATGGCCGCATTCTCAGGCAATACTGAAGCTGTTCGCCTATTGATCGAGAGAGGCGCTAGTGTTGACCCCAACGAAGAGTACTTCTACGGGTCTGCACTTGGTGCTGCCGCCCGTCGTGGACATGCTGATGTTGTCCGTCACCTCTTGTCGCAGTCGTGGAACCCGAGCCGACCGATGAAGACCTATGGAAGCTTCTTGAACGCAGCTGCTACCTATAACCATCTGGAAGTCTTCGAGATCCTGCTCGAGAAAGAGGAGCGCGTTCTCGTGCTCGAACAGGCATTGCAAGCTGCTGCGCAACGGGGCTACGATGCCATTGTCAAGGCCGTTCTGGAAAAAGAATCCAAAGTACCGTCGTGCATCATCAGGTACCAGAGAGCGTTTTCTTTGGCCGCCTTCTACGGTAGAACGGAAGTGCTCAAGTTACTTCATCCAAAGGGAATCGATCAAACGCAACTAGACGAGGCCCTGTATCAGGCTACCGACAACGAGCACCTGGAGACCGTGAAGCTGCTTCTCGACTTTGGCGCCAACCCAGATACGGAAGGGCCTACGTACGGCTTTGCGTTAGCCGCCAGTGCCTACGATGGTACAGCGGACATCATGAGAGCTCTTCTCGATAAAGGCGCTAACGTGAACAAACGCGGTGGAGATTACGGCACATGCATCCAGGCAGCTGCATGGTTCGGCGACGCCGATAACGTTCGACTGCTACTTGAGCGCGGAGCCAAGCTCAATACTGAACCAATTGGTTATTACGGCACCGAGCTGCAAGCTGCTGTTCATACTGGCGATGAAGACACCATTCGCCTTCTTATCGAAGAAGGAGCTGATGTGAACGCATTTGGAGGGCACTTCTCGTATGCTATTGTTGCTGCGGTGGAGCAAGGCGACAGCACTGCGACCAAGATTCTGTTCGAACATGGTGCTAATGTCAACGTACGCGGAGGGGTGGATAATTGGCCAGTGATATCATTGGCAGCATCTACATTGCTTACTGAAGACCTGGAGCTTCTCTTGCAGAACGTCAACGACATCAATGCAGCCTGCGCTAGAGGCACAACAGCTTTGATCAATTGCGCTGACGCATGCGATGCAGATGGATTAAAGTTTCTCATCTCTCATAACGCCGACGTGCACATTTCAAGCGACAAGTACGGTACAGCACTCCACGCAGCAGCGTAAGTCCAAGTTTCACTCACTCTTCTTGAAGTAAACTAATTTCTACACAGTGCCGAAGGCGATGAGGAATGTTGCGAGGTATTGCTCCAAGCTGGCGCGGATGTCAACGCTGTTGGTGGGCCATATGGAACGCCGCTGCAAGCTGCTGCATGGGCCGAGGATATGGAAAGTGTCCAAGTCTTACTGAAAGCCGGTGCCGACATTAGCATCACGGAGCCCATATCCGGCGAGTATGGTACGGCTCTGCAGGCCGCTTGTGCTGCTGGCTCATTCGATATCGTCAAAGAGCTATTACAGCATGGTGCGGCTGTCAACATCCGGCCAGCGAATGGAAAGTTTGGCGGTGCACTCTCTGCAGCCGCTGCCGGCGGGTTCGACAAGCTTGTAAAGCTTCTCATCAAACATCACGCCGATGTGAACGCTAGTGGTGGCCTACATGGCTTCCCTATCCTGGCTGCCGCTCAGTCTGGGGTCTTACCTGTCGTGCAGCGCTTACTCGACAACGGTGCCAATGCTTCAGCGCTAGGAGGCATACTTGGCTCCACTGTAGCTGCTGCAGCTTACGGGAACGACTTGGGAATTATCCGATTGCTGATAGAACATGGGGCCGATGTACATGCAAAGGGGGGGAAGTATGGCGACGCCCTACAAACAGCAGCGATGAAAGCCGATATGGCCATCATTGAGGAACTTCTCGACCGAGCCATCGAACTCGTTAATCATCGCGATGGCAAATATCATACCGCTCTCGTAGCCGCCTCATACTTCAACCGTATGGAGGTGGTTGTCAAGCTGCTTGATGCTGGAGCAGACTTTCGGGTTCAGGGCGGAATGTACCGAAGTGCTATCTCCGCGGCTGCCATCCGAGGCAACAAGACTATTCTGGACAACTTTCTCGCGATGAAACCTCCGGATCACCTCTTGGATGAAGCGTTCGTTGAAGCTTGCGCTCATCGTCAATCAGCCTGTGTGGACGCTTTACTCAAAGCGGGCGCCAACGTCTACGCACGACATCCGAATCGAGGGTCTGCAACCGAAGCACTTGATACATCGGAAGAAGAGGATGAAAATTCCGATCTGGATGATGACGATGATGAGGACGAGGAAGAAGATTCCGATGATGAAGAAGAGGAAGAGAGTGATGATGACGAATGGGAAGGTGACGACGTCTCCGTGGCCGGACAGACCGACGCAGGCAGTGTTACTGACGTGGAACTGGAAGAAGAGTTGCCGGAAGAGGCCAAGATACGAAAACTGTTGAGAGAGGCACAGGATCGCTGCAAACGCAACCCAACAGTGAAGCGGTTCAGGACCGTAAAGCGCCAAGAGATTCCGACAAGCCTTAGCGCTGGGATAAACCGCCGTCGTCCGGTACCACCATTGCCCTTGCAAGCAGTGCGCGAATCCAATTTGCACAGCGATGAGAAGGAAGTTGCACCACCACATGGCCAGCACTCCCAGGAGCCCTGGAGTCTGCCTTTTCACCTCAGACCGGGAAGGGCAGAGGTTGTAGCGGTTCCACATGCTCAGCCGGCTCCAGGGGTTCCAGTATCATCGTACGCTGCCCATTTACCCCCTATACCTGCTCAGGGCAATCTTCAATCTCCACCATTATCGTCCGAAGGTATGCGATCGTCCATTGACGACCGGCAACGACAAGACTCGGCCTCTTCTTTACCATCACAGAGACACAGCTTGATTGAAGCCACAGTTAGCGTGCCGCAGCCTGACAACACGACGTTGAGGAAGGGTAGTGCAGACCACGGGCTCAAGAGAAACAGCAAGGCTGTCAATCGCAAGTCAGTCGCAAACCTGGAAGCAGTCAATCGATACCACCAGCAGCGGCAGTCAAGCTACTCAAAGCCCACACCACTCCTAGACCGATCGATATCAGAACACGACTACGCTGCGCAGGGTCAGCAGATCGCGTCTCCACCACAGTATGGATCACCTCAGATTGCACCGCAAGGCAACAACCCTGATGCTGTGAACCAGTCATACCCTCCACCACTGCCACACCGGCAATCACAGCAGTTCAATCAGGCACAACCGTGGTTGTATCCTGGTCCATCGCAGGCACCGCAGCCCCCTCACCAACAGTACCTGCCGTATACATCGCCACCGCTGCCTCCAACGCAGCAACAATACATGCCTTATTCGCACACAAGTGCAGCTTCATCTCCGGCTTCGAGGCCGAGCAGTCAGTATACGAATACAGGTAGCCAATATGCACCCTGGGATACGCCGAACTCAAGTACAACTACGTTCAGTAATGCGCAGGGTCAGGGCGAGGCGCAGGGAAGGCGGTGGGCTAGTGGTGGGTATGAAGGGCAGGGGTATGGATAAGTGGTGACCATGGCATGAGCATCCTCAGGCTTTGTAGCGATGCCTAGTTTTGAAATCATGCATTTGAACGTTATTCTCTTGACCAGGCATGAATATCTTCACATTCTTCCTTCTTGTCCAACATCCAATCAACACTCACCTAAGCCACTTTCCCTTCTTTAATCAGCGCACTCAATGTCTCATTCCTCACCGTCCACTCCTCAATTTCCTCTCCATACTTCTCCACCAACAAATCACTCACCATCCTTGCAAACACCACCTCACCCCACGGATTCAAATGCGTGCGATCATTCCCTGTCGTACCATTCTCACCCCAGTTATACGTATCCGCGCCCTTCTGTCCAATTGCATTCACATACGCCGTGGACGCTTTGTTCAGATCTACGACGTGCAAGTCATTGGCCTCGGCTACATCGAGTGTGATGGCCGTCTCATTCGACAGGTTCTCGATAACGCGGTTGGTAGTTGTGTTGAATGTGCGACGCGTGAGCGGAGAGAGGAGTATGGGCGTTGCGCCTGCTTGCGTGACTTCAGAGGCGAAGGTTGCGAGGTTGGTGCGGTAGTCTGCTAGGGAGACGCCAGAGGTGGGCTTTTGGTCGTTGTGGCCGAACTGGTGACAGTTAGTTATGCTATCCCACTCGCTGTTCTTGTGGTATAGTACCTGGATCGTCACGTAGACCCTGTAGTCGTCTTTGTACGTGCCAATGTCTCTGGTCACATTGGCCCAGTCGCCGCCAGCTCGGAATGATCTTGTTGTCGCGCCGCTGTGCCCATAATTATGGCCTGAAGAGCTGCTCGCGACGGTTGTGGAGAGGAACGCGTCGCCCCAGCCGCCATTCGTGGCGGTTGTTGAATCGCCGGCTAGGAGCCAGTATATGGGTTTCGTGGCTTGTCGGTGGAGTATGGTCGGGGCTGCGAGAGCAAAGGGGAGGAGGGACAGGAGTGTGGCGCGCATATCGAAGGCCGACTTGTCTAATAGGAGGCTGCTGTAGGGCCTACAAAGTGAGCTTCATCCAGTACATATGTACGCGTTAGCAGTGACAGCTATACCGCGCTCAGCCATTGAGCCGGCGGAATGGAAGACACAGATCTTCCAGATTTGGGGTGCCATATTGCATCTTCACTTTGCCTGAAGCAGCTCTACATGCGCTCGTGATGCGCGGAAGCATGGCCAGAAAGCGAGTGGTGGTGGCTGATCTTCGGGGAGTTGGGATGGATGGTAAAGGAGTTGCGGGGTGCGGCGCTAATCGTCAGGTACCTCGCGATAATGCTGCCCGAGCTGCTTCATGCCGTCATGCGCAGGACATGCCTACAACGCATTTCGCGACTCTATTCTACTCGTACCGCATGCTGTAGCTGGTGATGCGGAAGATCTTTGGGGCGCGGAAAACAAACGCATTAGAGCCTCGCCGGCACGGATGCGAATGTCTATGCGACTTCCGATCAGATCCGCCATGCTAGGCGGCAGCGAAAGTCAAAGATTTGCTGATGCCGCATGGGTATCGATATCTCAGCGCGGCTCCCGATCCATACCGCAATTTGTTCTCTAAAGCGAATTGGCGTTGCCATGTCTACCTTTCCTGACTATGTCGCGGCCGTTCTTCCGCCTGTCCACCTCCTGGCCTACTCCACCTTACTCGGAACCGAGCTGTACCAGACTTTCGTAATGACGAAAGTCTCCTACCAAGCTCTTCCCAGATCTGCGTTTACGACTCTGCAGAAGCGGGTCTTTCCAATATACTTCCAAAGCCAGTCGAGTCTTTTACTCATCGTCGCTGCGACATTTCCGCCTCGTAGGCCACTTTCGTTGCTTGCAGAGAAGAGTGACTGGATCGCTTTCGCAATCGCTGGTGTGACTGCTGGGTTCAATTTGGTTGTATTTGGCCCGAGGACAAAGGACTTGATGGTGCAAAGGGTTCATCAAGGTGAGTATCCACGGATCTTGGCGAATTCGTTGATGGCTGATGGAAAGACAAGCGACTCGCGATGGCAAACCGCAGCTTAATGCAGCCATTAGCGACGACATGAAGGTTCTCAATCGGGCGTTCTCTAGAGCTCACGCGATGAGCATACATCTGAACCTCATTACAATTGGTGCAACGCTTTGGTACGGTTGGAGGTTGGCGTCAAAGCTACAGTTCTAGATTAACTGAGTGCGCTTGCAAGTTATACACAATGACCAAAGTCCCTCGTGGTTTGATGGTTCCCAAGGTTCCAAACGACGAAGCCTGGGAAGTATTAAAGCAGAAGGGGAAGTTTATAAAACAGAAGCGTAAAGGTTCAAGGTTTTATTGAGCACTCAACGGATGCAAAGTGTCTTTGGGATATAGTATGTTTGCAGTGTCCATTTCATGCTGGTACCTAGTTGACCCCAGGAGTTTAGCGTGGATGAGTAATTCAGGCGACCCGGGACGGATGTTGATCGTGCCTCCGTCCCGTGCTGGGTCTGGCTCTTGCCCTCTCCTCGCACCTGCAGCGATCCTGCGCCATCGCATCGGATGGAGGAAATTGAGCAACCGTCCGCGAGAGCGGGTGTACCGCGAACAACACAGGCGTGCCAACGCTGCCGGAACCTGAAGACGCGATGTTTGCCGAGCGCCCAATCTGGACTATGTCAGAGGTACGCCAGCCAATGGGAGCGTGATACTTTAGCCGTGGCTCCACATCTTCATGTCTTTACAAAGACGCTGACCATCCGCCAGATGTTTCTCAGCCGGCAAGGAATGTGTCTGGGCCGAAGCACCGCGTAGAACGAGAAAGCTGCGTGCACCTTCGTAAGTCGCTGCCCGTCTACTTCGATCTCAACTCATGATATTCGTAGCCGAATTGCGCAGGTCGAGCAAAAGATCGATGGCCTAGTAGCCAAGCTCGTCCATGCGGCTGACAGTGAAGTCACATCAGACTCAGCAAATGCATCGCAGCCAATCCCTAGAGAAATCGCAGCGGAGCGTTGGCGTAATCGGGGAGTAGTCAACACGGCGCCGGGTAGCTGGTTGCCGACACTATCTTACGAACCGAACGCCGTGCCGCCTGACCAAAGTACTGACGATGCATCAGAGAGTGCCGAAGTTGATCGACAGTATCTTGAGGAGATTCGCACCATACACAGATTTGACGACCGCGAAGATGTTCCTAACGCTCGTGAGGGCATCTTTAGGACTTCGAAACGACCCGAAGCTCCCATCGAGCATGAGGTTGTCCAGCAATTGCTCACATCCGGCGAAGCAGACACACTACTGATAAAGTATCGAAACATGTCGGCCACGTTCCCTTTTGTTATGCTACCGCCCCAAGTCACTGCAAGACAGCTCCATGAGCACAGGCCCATGCTTTCACTCGCGATATTTCTGGTGGCATCATGGGAACATCACACACGCCAGATGGCACTTGATGGTATCTTTCGCCAAGAGCTCGCTAATAGAACAATCTTACAACCCCGAAGGACATTGGGCCTAGTGCAAAGCGTACTGATCTATCTCTCATGGTAGGATGGTACCCACCATTGCTGGAAATCTACTAATCTGCGCAGGTATCATTTTGTCTTCAGCCACAAAACACAGCAAATCTTCTTTTTGCATAATGTCGTGGTAGGCTTGGCTTTAGACATTGGTTTACACCAAGACTTCCAGCCTTTAGTCTCTCCAATGCTGCCAAAACGACCTCCAGGTCCACCACCACCAGCTGAAGAACTGCGCGAGAGGCGCCGTGCGTTCCTGGGTTGTTATTACCTTTCGTCCATGTATGTGCTCTCGTCACCAGATTGTGACTTTGCATGCTGACTCTAGCAGGGTTGCGGCAGGTTTACAGAAGCCGAATCTGCTCAAGCATACTTCAACCATGACCGAGTGGGCGCAAAGTTTGAAGCAAGATCGCGAGTACGAAACCGATGAAACCATTAGCCTTTTGATAGCTCTGCGACAGATTGATGACCAAGTACAAGATGAGTTGTTCACGGCTGATACTTCGCAACTGCCAATGTCTGATGGCCGAGCGTTGATGCATGTTCGATTCATAGATGTACAACTCGATACATGGAAACGGGAGTGCAACGGTGTTCCCTCTCAACGACTACTCGAACTCTCCTTCTCATACGCCAAGATGCAACTACACAGCGTAGCCCTTCGGCCATCTCCTTCGGAGTTACCGGCATCGGTACGTTCGTCACAGATCAACAGCCTGCTCTCCGCTCTTGAAGCCAGCAAGCGCTTTCTCGATACTTTACTTTCATTTCCAGCCCACGAATATCACCTCATATCGTTCTCGGAGTGGATGCGATTACCACCAGTCATCATGACGGTCGCCAAGCTATGCATACCCAGTGAAGACCATGCCGCCATTGGGTGGGATACTGAAGCTGCTCAAGAAAGAGTGCGCTTAGATCTCTGTCTTGAATCACTTTGCTATCGAATGCAGACTCTATCGACGTTCGACAAAATAAAGCGACCCCACCCCGACTTCTGGCACGCTATGCGGATGATCAATGAACTGACAAAAAACTGGTACATTCGCAAAATCCGACCGGAGCGGCCTAGCCAGACGCCATCAGGATCTACGCCCAGCGACTCAGTTGAGCGGAGTATGAGCGGAAGCTCATGTCCCATTACCAGCGCACCAACAACGTGTCCAACACGACACGCGGAAGATCAATACAACACGCTAGCAGACACCAACTATATGGAAGGCTTCGGCATAGACATAAACCAAGTCCCCGTGACCGAGGTTAGCAACGACCCCTTCGCGCTTATGAGGGGTGCCGATTTCGACATGAGCCAATTCTTCGATATGGCGGGAGGTATTTGGGGGGAGGACAGCTACAACAACTACACTGGCATGTCTTTTGGAAATGGAGCACCGTTCTGATCCCTATGTCAGGACGTCGAATAATCGCCGCGGGCAGTCATGCGCGACTTTGTTCACGATAACTTGACGCACTGCAAGACGTTGCATCGCGCCGTTGCGCTGTTCGCATTACAGATCACTCGTCTGCGAGCTCGTGGGCATGCCTCGAGGCCTTCCGCCCTAGCATGTGAATCAGACTGCCGATCTCACTCTTGTACAAAGCGTCTTACATCGGATTGTACGATAGCCGTTTACTTTGGGGGCACACAGTTTGTACGCGTTTCCAGCATATTGGCGTGGCATACGGTGATTATTCCAGACAATTCCGGCGTTTGATAGGCGTTGGACCAGACACAAAGTAGGCAAAACGGGCCTATTCCAATGTACACTGTCGCAAAGCATCGCGTACTTCCGCTTACCGCTCATTAATACCTTCCTTTACGACACTAACCCGCCCACCGGGCGCCGTCCAATACCAGTCCCAAGATACCACGCACACTGCACCCCGCGTTTTAAGTGTCAGATTCAGATGCCACGAGCGCGCCACGCGTGGTTTGAAGATGGGATTCTCATCCATCGGGCCGCGACAAGGTGGTGTCGCTTGTGGAAATGTGATTGGTTGCTAACGCGAAATTGTCGACGTTAGGCCCGCGCGCGAGTCGGCGATCGCAACAGGTTTGCACGTGCCTTGATCGCCCTGGAATCTCGTCGCATGTGTGACATCAGCTGGACCCTGCATTCACGCCTTGAAATCTAGGACATTGGCGCGTTCAGTGCATTGACTATAACTGGACGAGGATATATCTTGTGTGACGTACTCGCGGTTTGCGCAATTACAACATTGTTGATATTCGCTGCTTTCCTTGCCTTTTTCTTGCAACTCGCACTATACCTACCTCTACCGTCGCGTTTCTTCATCATTATACCCGGATTCTATCTCAAACATTACCATGAAATCGTTCAAGAGCTTCGTCAACAAGCGCCGCCAGAGCTGGCAAAATCGGGGCAAGCAGGAGGATAATCCGGCACCAGCACCACCCGCTCCCACTCCCGCCGACGCCGGCAATGAGAAGCGTGCAGCAGCTCCACAAGCCAACAACGAACAGCAACAAGTTCTAGCTGAGGCAGCACCGGGCACTCTTCAGTTGGCCCTGCAGAACAAGTCCAACTCCGACAATGTATACTGCTACATCACCGGCCTTGCTCTCGAGCGAAACAACACCCCTCTGTTTGTGCAAGCAGACGGCCAGTCCATCTACTATCCAGTAGCCCCTAAGGATATCCAACAGCCACTTCAAGCCGATGTCGCCATCCCACTTGGCCGTCCCGGTAACACCGTCAACGTCAGGATCCCCAAGATCGCTGGTGGTCGTATCTGGTTCAGCATCGGCGCAAAGCTCACCTTTCTCCTCAACCCAGGCCCTGCGGTCGTTGAGCCCAGTGTAACCAACCCCAGCGACCCCAACTTCAACATCAACTGGACCTTCTGCGAGTTCACCTACAACGACGCGCAGCTATTCGCCAACATCAGCTATGTCGACTTCGTCAGCATTCCCGTCGCGCTCAGCTTGACCAGCAACGACGGAAAGACCCAAACAGTCCCTGGTATGGGGGCCGATGGCTTCCGGAGAATCATGGAAGAGCTGCGTGCGCAAGCCCAGCGCGACGGTCGACCTTGGGATAAGCTCATCTACGAGGCCAACGGACAGCCGTTGCGGGTGCTGAGCCCGAACAATCTGCTTGTCGGCAATGAAAATGCCTGGGGAGATTACTGGAACGGCTACGTCCAGGCAGTGTGGAACAAGTACCGCAATGAAGACATGACCATCAACACCCAGGCCGCAGCCGGCAACCTCAAGGGACGTGTCCAAGGCAACGAGCTCGAACTAGGCGAGGCCGGAAAGTTTGCTGCTCCGTCAGCTAGGGATATCTTCACCTGCAGCACCGGGCCCTTTGCAACTGGATCGAACCAAGCGCGCAACGCAGTCATCCCCCGACTTGCTGCAGCGTTTAACCGTAGCATCTTGCTAAACACGCCTGGCAACCAGTTCCCCAACGGCAGCAACCCGAGCCAGTACTACAAGGACCCGACCACCAACCACTACTCGCGTATCGTGCATCAGATGCAGAAAGATGGACGTGGGTACGCTTTTCCATATGACGACGTTGTTCCGGATGGTGGTCAGGACGTGGCAGGTACGATCTTCGCTGGTAGCCCGAAGCTGTTCACTATCGCTGTTGGTGGGCAGTAAGCCGCTGAATCTTATGGGAAGTATGGGAGTTGAATGGTGTATTTACGATGAAATGAGTGCATGTCATTGAACTTATTGTACATGTTTCGCAAAGATCTTTGACGGGTGGATCGAGTACATACCTAGGTAGTTAGCTTTTGGTACATATTTGATGATTAATGAAGTTTGCATACGTGCTTCACTTCCCATCACAGCAACATCGTGAATGCAGCAGGCTTGTAGTACGCATGTCGAGTGTGAGGGCTCCGGGTCTGCCCTGCCTGTCACGCGTGCATGAATCGCATCGATGACGTCATCAGTCTAACCATCTCAGGGGAAAACCGTACCAGCCTCTTTCACCCACACGCGACGCGACAATGCCACCTCACATGCATCTTCGCCGAATACAAAACCGACTAGCAACCAAAACAAAGCTCATCTCAGCTAGGTGAATTGCCACGTGAGGACGCGGCTCGCGAACGCGTGACGTCATCGAAATAATAAAGCGCTCAACCTCCATCCTAGGGAAGCTGCGCAACGTTGGCGCAGAGCCCGGATATGTTGCTCTCGGGTTATGATGGGTGTAACTTTGAAGGGATTGGAATTCGCAGTGCCAACTGCTCGATATCCAGAGTACTCGCGACTTTTTTTTGAAAGCGCTGACCCTACGAAGAAGCGTGTTTTACTTAACTCGCGCACTCGGTCACACCGCACCATGAAGTATACATTATACTCCCATATGAACGATTTATGGAGCAAAAATGTAATGTATACTTCAAGGTCAAGCTTGGTATTGGGATTGACTCAGCAGCGCGAGCTTGTCGTCGGTAGGCCTTTTAAGCTTACGCGTCTCGTGTGAGATCGAGGCTCATATCTTCATATGTCCAGTTCATGGCTCCATCCACGGTCTATACGCCCATTTCGACACTGTCGTTTCATCAATCGATCCATTGCCGTGTCCGCTTGCCTGCGCCGCGCAGTGACACATCTAGCAACTACGGCATGAGAGCCGCCAACGCCACCGTGATTCGAGCCAGAGGGCAACAACAGGACTCATCTGGCTATTGTGGTGTTGAACTGGCGGCGCTGACAAGGCCACTCGCACAAGGCATGGTCAAGAAGGTCGATAGGGTAGCTGGCATAGGCGGGCAATCTGATACTGGCACGACAAGAACCCCAAAGACGTGGCAATATCCCATTGACATGAAGCGCTTCACGGGTTTGGGGACGGTCGATTGACTTGGTAGTTTCAAGAAGTGAGATGAAAGGTAGACGGTGAAGCGAGCTCAGTAGAAACGGGGGCATGCTTTTGCTGTGCATACTCGAGAAGGGGATCCTGATAAGCCTCGCGTGCAATGAACATCCATCTGGCCTGCCTGGGCCGTGACGATACCCGTTTGACGACATCCACGAACGACGAGGCCCAAGACAGAATGCATTCAGCACCAAATCGATGCGTGCACCCAACGGCCGCAGGGAAGAACGTACTTTGCGTGTCTATACTTTGGCGTCACGTGCTGGCGTCAGACGATGCAAGCTCTTGCGTTGACCATACTTGTCGTCCTCCAAGAGAATCTGATTGAATGGGTACATGTGGATCATGGAGGCTTTGAGTGCACAGATCGTAGCCGTCCGCAAATCCCACCCCTTCCACGTCGGCTACTAGCCTTGTCAGTGTGTATTACTGCTCGGTGCCACACGTAGAGCCTTTCAAAATGAGGCCCAATGGGAGATCTCGGGTTCCCGCGGTAACGACAACGATCATCGAGTCGTCAAGATGTTGGTGCGTGTTGACAAGAACAATGCCAGTGCCAAGTATATTCGACCAGCGCTTGATCGATTGGCTTTGATTGGAGTATCACCGCAAGCGAAGCGGCATGCTGGGCGAGCAGGGTCTGCGGTCCTGTATCCAGGCACACCGGGGCGTGGCCGGGCTTGCGGCCGTCGAGCTCAAACAACCGCGCCTCACATTCTTAGGAGGGCCGCTACTGTCGACTTGATTCGTGGACTGTGACACTACTGCTTGGGTATCATAGCTCGCTGTGTGTCTGCGGAGACACATCCGTCTAGTGAGACGCAGCACCACACGAGCACTGATGCTCGCAATGCCAAAAGCGTGCCTCGAGGGTCTTGAGTGTCTCCATCACTAGGTGGCCGTGGACGAAGCAGATCTGCTCGAATCAATTGCTGCGATGACCAAAGCTGCATTCACTATGAGTGCCCAGGTGTAATTAGCGCACACACCACAACGTGCAAACGGCCATGTGCGTTTCCATCACAACAACTGGCGACTGACGAGCACTGGCTGCAGCCCCTCACCCCATCGCCCGACCGCGCTCTTCAACCAGTTCCTCTTATTTGCGCGATCAATCAATATAAACACGGATCAGCCGACTACGCAACCGGCATCCAGAAGGCAAAAGATACCCAGAGCCGTACTACAAGACCGAGCGGGACCGCCCTGCACGAAACACGATCAGATACCCATGGCTATCTCATCAAAACAAACATATGGCCAGCTTTTGTCGCGATCCCAGAAGAAGCGAATCGACGCGTGGATCAACAATCTACCGTACGACTGGCAGTTAGACAGCGCAAACACGGCGCTTCTAGCTCCCGCGGCGGTATACGAAGATTGGCTTGATTGGGCAAAGCCTCGGGCCCTCTCATGGCTCGCCAGACTGGACAAATACGAAAGGCGGTTTCGAGTCGCTGGAGTCGCCTACCACAAGGTTCCGTATGCGCTCCGACGCTCAATCGCTACTTGTAGCTCGAAAGCAGTCGAGCAGACTGTGTGTTCACGGCTCAGCCAAATGTTCGAAATCGGCCGCCCGCGCTCTGAAGAGCCGTTCTTTCACCCATGGGACGAGATCTTCGACGCTGCCTATGCAGTTTTGCAGAAATGGGTATTATCAAGAGGCACCGCTCCGGAGGACGTCGATCAACTTCGCGTACTGGAAGCCGAATGTGAACTCACGCTTTCTCAACTGGCGAAACCACTCCGGAATCTGGAGGCTGGACTGGTATGGGTGGAGGAGCAAGTAGCGAAGCTCGCCGAGCGCTCCGATCTTGATGGAACTGAGGCGCTGTCCGCCAAGCACAGCCGCGAGGGTAACATATTTCGGATGTGGGTACAGACCTTTCTGGAAATTGAACATGGGGTGGTGAAGTCGAAGTCTGCGTATACGGAAGCTTTCGTAGATGGCGTAGTGGAAGACGAGAAGATTGCGAAGGACGCGTACTGGACTATGTTGGCGGTTACTGACGTCGAGGGTTGGTGAGACGGTGGGTGAACGAAGTTCAATGCGCTGTGCAGACTACATGTATACTCTAGGGGCGGAGTTTCACAGCGCTCACTACTGTAGGTCTCTATATCACAAGATGTAATTCCATCCTATCATTTCCCTCAGCCACTGCAACCGGAGCTAACTAGGGGTACACAATCCAACGTACTAGTCATATCGCCAACATGTGCCCAAACTGCAAACCCGTACCTCCAGAGCAAGCCGACGAGGAGGCCAAAAAAGCCCGCACCGGTATCCAAGAGATCATTGAACGCGCCGATAGTCTTCTCAATCTTTGCAACTCGTTGGAAGATCGCTATAGAGAAGCCGGCGTAACCTTCCACAAAACCCAGCGCGCCGCCCGCATCGCCTTGGAACTCAACGAGGATCTGGATGTAGACCGTTACACAGCCCTCAACAACGCCTTCATTGTTCAAAGCTACGAAGAAATCTTTGCTCCTCTCAAAGCTTTGATCAAGAGTCTCACCGCGCTCCGCACGAAAGCGCAGTATATTCCATCATCGACCGAGGCTCATAACCTCAAGTTTACGCTGGAGTTCACGTTGATACCTGCGATGAACGTCCTGGTCTCGGACTATGAGACGTTCTCGAACAATCTGCGTAGCCTCGAACAAGATGTGCATGAACTAGATGTGTTCAGTAGGCAGCATTTTCAGGTCAACGAGCTGGGCGAGCGTTGTGCTTGGTATGATCCTGTGTTGGATCTAACCAATGGCAGGAGAACTGTGCGGAGCCATCATAGGGAGTATGTGTTGTTCGCCGACTGGGTTTATAACTTACCCGAAGCGCGGCGGGCTATGGGGGTTCAACATGAGATCGACGGGCTACATGCATCTCGTACGCTCTTCGAGGATAGGCTGTTTGTTTATGCGATGGATTTGATTTGGCATGCGAATGAGGGGTTTATTGTTGCGGGTACGGACTAGACTCCCTGTGCCCACTGCAAGGAACATTATTCATACAGTTCTGGTTTGGTAAAACTGCCCAGGTATTTGTTGTTATCGCATACAGCATAACAAATACCGAACTTATACCGGGATGCCCGAAAGGTATCAAAGTCAGTCTAGTCTAAGTTAAACATTCCTCGTGGCCTTAATGGTCTTAGTGGCCTTAGTGGCCTTATAGTAAGATGCATGCTAGCATTTAGCTTCCGTTCTCGTAAGATTTCCATACATGACTGTCAGTTTCGAACTGGATTACACAAACCGGGAAACAAATAAGATATGAGTCCTACGTGTACTAGTTTATGCCATGCTATCGTAAATAGTACCTGTGCTTAGTAGAACCTTCCGCTAGCTGGCAGCAGTTCGATTGTACCTTCCCTTTCTTACCTAGGTACATAGTCTATACATAGAATACTGCAGCAGCAGCTATCCCCGCACGGCAAATTCCCAGCACACGTTTCGATCTAACATTGCCACTCGTAAAACAGCGTTGGTCTTACATCGTCTTACACTAGCATATACACAGTCTCGGCCACGCTCATGGCGACATTCTAGCCCACAGGATTGTAGCGTTCACTAGTCTATGTAAGAGAAGCTGTTCAGTTTGACTATACGTAACGCATCTTATGATACCTAGGTAAGGAAGCGGGAGAAGCTGTACGCACACGCACCGGAACCCGTCCACGCCAATATGGGATACTTCGGCCGTTAATTTCGTGATAACATAAAGGCAGCCAGAACCGTTGCCGGTAGAACAAGATCAGATCATGCATCCGTACCTATAACAACAAGATGCAATTACAAACGTTGAGAGGAAAACCCGCCCGATTCCCATTTGTTCAAAGAGAAGGCGGTGGAAGATGAAGGAGTATACGCAAGAGTCGGCGTATGGTTTTCCTGCGCCCAGTAGCTGATCAGTGCACTGATCTGGTCTTCGCGAACTCGACCAATGTCTTTGACTTTGACGTTCATCTCGATTGGATACACTTTGCCGAATCGGATACGAGACTCTCTCCTGATCTTCTCGTTTGGTTCAGCGGGCACAACCTCGATCGGCTCTTTGGTCATGCCGCGTTCATATTCGCCGGGAATGTAGCATGATGCAGGATCAGTCCCGGAAAAGTACACGATTGTGTGTTCGGCTGGGTTGCATCCATCCTTGAGAGTTCCACGACCAGGATATGTACCGATACCGCTAACACGGATCAGCGCTTTGTCACGACTTCTGATAGCTGCCCTAAAGCTTACCAAGCGTTTACGAAACCCCGTCTTACATCCACGACGACAAAGCGGCGGATATTAGTGTGTGCGCTTTGCCCAAATCGTACCACTGTGTATGCTTCGTCGTTGGGATGCTGTACGGAGGTGTCGCTTGCTGTCTCTGTATATAGAATAGCAAAAACTCTTCCCACCTTGAAAAACTCTCGCGCTTCCAGATTAGTTAGCACTCGATAAGCTGACTTGGTGTTAGAAGAAACCTGCGAATATCTCAAGATACTAACAAGTGTCTAGACCATCGTGCCATCCGTTCTGTGGCGTGCCCGATATGAAACCTTGTAGCGTACGAACGTCTTGGGGAGCTGAAAAGACCAAGTCAGTGTCTGCTTTACTGCCAGATGACTATTCCACCATAGCTGGCTCGGGCATCTCCATCATACCTGGCTCGGGCGTCTGCTGCTCCATCGCTGAGTCGTGTCTGGGTTGCGTGTCGGGCGCGCAAGACCCAGCTTGTTGGACGTAGGCTTGAGGCTGTGGACGCCAATAGTAAACAGGGCGGTCTAGACCGGTCAGCGGCTGGACCCCAGCGTGAGACGTTTCATAACTGACTGTACTGATCATAATGCACATAGTAGTAATTCTGGTATTCGTGGCTCCACGTCCATTCTTGGTTGTTGTCCGCCCTCTCAGCATTTGATACGGAAGGCGTGTAGAGATCGATGGGGCGACGATCTGAGCAAGAGTCAGTACCAGATTTGCTGCCAGATAACCATTTCGTCATACCCGGCTCGGGCATGAGTGGCTCATGAGATGTGTGTTCAAGTCGCGGTTGCAGTCGCGATTGCGCTTGTGGTTCCTCGTCATGGATCTCGTTAGAGTTCATGTAATCATCATTGGCATCCAGCAAATGCCATCCTGCGTTCGCGACATGGTTCATCAATGCTTTCGCCGCTACTATGTAGGCAGTGGGCTGCTTGTCCGCAGCAGCTATGATCATGCCGTACAATGCTCCACTATTGGTGTCGAGGACCAGTGATCCACAATCGCCATGCTTGATTGCACCCTTGTACACAAATGTATATACGGATTTGAATGACATGCTCCCTTGTAGGCGCATCAAGATAGGGACCTTGTTGAGAGTGCCATGAACATGACCATGAGTGGTCCATGCTATAGCCAGCGAAGGCTCAGGCTCGGCTGTAGAAGTCGACACATGAAAGCCATCATTTCTTGCGAGAATCCTAGCCCTATCAAGCTTCAGCTGAAGTTCAGGGTCATCGATGGTTATGATCGCGCAATCCAAAGATTTTTCGGGCTCCTGGCCAGACTCCAGATGACCAAGTAAAGCCAGATCGTGCGGCAGATCTATCGAGACTTCGGGGAGATCTCTAGGCCTAGTATCTCCTCCGAGACCAAACCCATCTGCGTGGAAGACGTGAGATTCTCTTGATCTCACTGAATCTGACAGCAAGACCCCAGCGAAGGACGCCTTTTCGTTCAAATCATCTTCGCCGTCCTCATCGTCGCTGTCGCTGTCGAATGGTATACCGAGATCATCTTCGTCATCATCGATCGACGAAGGGCTTTGATGCAGAGGACCGAAAATATGGGCTGCAGTGATATAACCGTATTTGGATCCGTTATGCACGACATTGGCTGTTCCCATTCTTGATCGACCATCTGCTGTCTTGACGTATATGGGCATTCCGGTGATTCTTAGCCCTTGTTTCGAATCATAGTAGGCAGATAAAGAGACAGGCGTATTCGAATGGAAAGCAGAATTGGACGTCTTCTCTTTCCAAGTATCCGAACCCAATCCTTCGGATTCTGATGCTGAATTCCAACATGCTTCACTAGGTGATCCGGCGACAGGATGGATGGGGCCTGATGGGAGATACTTAAGCACCCCGATTTCGAAGCCAAAATCCGTTAGAACGCCGCTTCTGATGATGGCTTTTTTGGCTTCCTTACGTGATTGTTTGTCTTCGCTGGAAATTATGATCATAGGTTTCGCTTTTCCAGGCGTCTTTCCCACCATAAAAAGTGACACACAGATCTCACGGAAAGACTCTTGTCGAGACTGGTCCAACTCTTTCAGTAGCTTGATCTTTGCTTCTGCGTACAATTGAGCACATTTCCCCTTGGCCTCCCAGCAACGCTGGCCGTCTTTCCACTCGGGGTTCGCTATTTGATCTACACAAAGTGGGTGTTCGATGTCGACAGATTCCTCATGGTTGACCGGACTTGGCTGTCGCAATATTTCACCTAGACGTATTATTACGCCAACGGGACTCGACACTGGCTTGGTGATCACAGGGGAGCACTGCTTCATCGTTACCAGATCGGCAACCTGAGACAGCTCTTCGATTCGAGCTGTGACTAACATATGTATCGGCGTTGTGCTGAATCGTCTTTTTGAGAGCTAGGGTTGTGCGCGCAATGCGCGATTCAAGGTGAGGTGCTCATCGAGTAGGAAATGTTACCAGGTAGAAGTTGCGGATGGGCTGAACTTTTGTTCGACCCCGCACTCTACTGTATGCCTTCCGGTGAGCAACCCGCCCCCAATGACACTCATCTAGTAAGCGCTCAGCCCCCGGCTGCGCCACGCTGTCATCAAAGCACTGCCTTGGAAGAACATGGTCACTGATGTGTACCTCCAAGCATTCCACTCAAAAGGAAAACATTCCAGGCTTCACCAACAGTGTCCGCTTCGAAGCCACGACTCCAAGAATGGTGCTTTCCGGGAGGGCCAACGAAGATCCTATACAATCCCAACACAAGCGTAACGTCCTGGAAGCCTTTTGGCCCATCAACACTGTCCCGATATTCGCAGTCAGGGACGATCGAGGCTGCTGCCCTTGGGATGCGTATTTTCGACACTACACCGCAGAATGCAGAAAGGCTATTGAGCCTGATGGCGGCAAGCATGTGACTATTCGGGAGCATCAGGACATCATAATGATCATTCGGCAACTTGAAGCAGGCCATACGAAAGAGATGATCAAGTGCTCTCTCGCATCACTAGTCACTCAACAAAGAAGTGAAGAAAGCAAGAGCCTCATGGCGGAAGGATCAGTCCGGTTGGTAGTACGCCTTTTCTTGATGGTGGATGTGGGAGCTCCGTCGAAGTACCTGACGTGGGGTTCTACCATCCTACCATGGAGCGATGATCAAGTCGGTGTGAAGACCGTTCTCGCAAATCACTTTGTCGTCAGCTCCACCGATACAGGGAACCTGACATTTGAGGAAGCATTTACAGCGTTCAACTTGTACCGCTTCACTGGGCTTGAGATCCAATGGACCAATAATCTTGCCAATCACTTGCGGCTCATCGACAACGACCGGAAGCTTTGCGTTTTTCATCATGCAACCTTCCTCCATCATCAGACAAGGCAGGTCCTCGAATGCATTGCTATGGTCAGCCGCTGATTAACATAGTGATTTATATCCAAAGAATCTCATCGACGAAACGTTGCGAACACTAGACTTGTTGTTCCCGAGACAAGATGCTAGCACGCAAAGGTGGTTGAAATCTCAGCGACTGCAACATGGTGATATCACGTATCCGGATATTTCATTGCTGAACCGAATCGCGATGTTGTCCACCGATCGCCGTGCCATGAACTTCGAATATTGGCGCGATGAGCTGATGACACTGAAGGAAAGGTTTGATCAACCGAAACCAACATCCATCTCTCAGTTTTGGTACGATAGAAGAAACAGACCTCAGTGGTACACGTTCTGGATTGCTGTTACTGTACTTTGTCTTACAGTCCTTTTTGGTCTCGTACAAAGTATTGAAGGAGCTTTGCAGGTGTATAAAGCGTACCACCCAGTCCCAAACTAGACAGCGCATGGCAGCTTGAAGATTGAATAGCATGCAGTACTCGTGTGCAGACAGCTCCTGGACATATGTGATTGCCGGAATTGCTGGTGTTGGAACCATCTTTGATATACGTGTAGCCAGGCCCCGAGGCTATTGAGTCGTGAAACCAGCGAGGAGATTAAGACGTGTGGTTGTATGGCAATAAGGGGTCATTTCGTGGGTCTAGTGAGGAAGCAGGAGACAGGTTTTGCGCAGGTAGAATCTTGTTCGTATCCTTTGGCACGTCTGAGAGTGTGTAACCGTGGAAGCAGAGCGTAGTGGGTGCCACAATGCTCTCAATGCCAACGGCAGTCACGTCGTTCTTGCAGGCATATAGGTGGGGTCTGATGCCCAAGGCCGAACGTACTATGCCCGGAACTATACGTGTCCGCATTTCCGAACAGATCCACGGCGTTGAAACCTCATACAGGAAAAAACCTGAACAGGCCTGCGGACTACATTAAGACAAAGACCTGCAATGTAGGTGGCCCAACGTTAACCTAGGCTCCAGGGTGTTAAGTTTTTCCCTAGGTTGGCGCGGTGAAGCCTTCGATGACGTGCGCCCATTGTAGATTCATGGCCTAAGTTTGGCCATGCTAATCTCCATATCCCCGTGTTGTATATGTGTACGCGAGCTCGGCCGCGGTAGGATAGCGCTTGCGAATGCGATAGGAGAGGATTCGACGTGTATAGTCCCAACTTGGGCCGACAGGGAACTCGATCTGCAATCTCGTCAGTGAACAACCATCACAGGAGATCAGACATAGCATACCAGCCTGTCCTTGTAGTCATTGGATTCCTGAAATTGTGCCGCAACGAGAGTTGGGTGAGGTCTCATATCGAGGCACCTTCTCCATGTTCAGTCTGACTGTGTGCAATGCGCGCATCTCGAGAACCTCCAACTGGCATCTGGGAGCGACAGTGTCATCTCGTTGGTAGCGTGGACCGTCCTGGCGAGCGATGACTTCGTAGCATAGGAACGGCTACGCCAGACCGGTGGACGACTCGCGGGCGGCGATGCAGGCGGATTTCAGAGAACGAACCATAGCGTCATGGCAAGTCAGTCCGCCAAGACCTAGAGTTGGTGGACGGATTTGCGCTTCGGTAGAGGAATTCGCGCTTCAGCTCTGATCAGTCGCGTGTCTTCTGGGTGTTGGTGACGCGTTATGCAGAGTTCACGAGAATCGCGCGCTAGGGTCCGCGGTGTTCGCGGTCACATGAGGCCCGGATGCATGGGCCGGCGCGGGGAAAGTGGGCCTCCTGGGCAGAAATTCGTTGCACTAAACACACACCACATACCTACTACACCTCTTCAGAATTAAGAGTGCGCCCCTCCTTACACAGTGAAGTCTACTAAGATGCAACGAACATCTAGACGCTTAGTGTCTTCTCTTGAACTGCAACGTGTAGTCAATGTCAGCTCATACACATGCAGATCGCACTGATCGCGGCCTCCTATTAAACAAGGCACATAGCTAGGGAGATCGCGAGATACCTGATTCAAGTGCAGTCCACGGAAAGATGAAGTCTTGAACTTGAGAGTCATGTCAATTATGGTAAGTTATACGCCACTGCGTATCTGTCAAAGCGCTCGACGGCGCTTACCAAAGAGTATATTGATGCTGCGATGCGGGCACAATGGTAAGACTGAGATATCCTAATCTAGTCAGAGCAACAAAACTTTCCTTTCGTCGGCCAGGTCGTTTCGTCTTCACCCTGATCGAAAGCACACAGGTGCGCTATGCGCAATCCTCAAATATCGCTACTTGCGCTTTCACTTATGCAGTTTCTATTCCGCTCTTCACTTTCAAACCCAGGCTTTCAGGCACGTTTAGACGCGTTTAATGTTGCAGGATGAAAGAGGCTTCGACTTTTTGAGCCAAGCATTAGTGTGTAGTGTCGCTTCCTCTTGAGGGAAGGTCACGGGGACGCGCACACTACCATAGGTACCTAGGTATCTTGACACTCACGCGTTTCTTACATCAACATGGCTTCACCTAGACGTTCATATTGCCCTAGTATGCTCCATGGAACCTTCGAGAGCAGCGAAGCTACGTGACTGGTGAATTCAAAACAGGCAGGAGCAGTGAGCTAGCGCACAGACTCGCCCACAAACAAACCACCAACCTTTTCTGTTTTGCTGCTTCCTCCATCCTCACATCACCTCGAAACAGCCTGCTGAATCCTCGACAGCGCTATGGATTCAATCACAGAATACGTTGAAACACAATTCGCCGCTCTCAAGGGTATTTACCAATTCCTTTTCAATCACGCTCATGGCTAATGTGAAGCAGCAAGGACCGAGGCCAAGCAAGGAGGGCACAAAGCCACTTCCGAAGAGCCTTTGAAGGCGACCAGCAAGCCTGTCGGCTGTTAGTACATCCTCTTCACCAGCATTGTAGGCGCCACTAACAAAGCATAGCCGCCAGTGAGCGCGTCCAGAGCGTCGTCAGTGATGCCATCGACAAGGGCGACCTCGGCGAGCTGAGTAAGTCCTCCCGTAACGCTCGAGCGATTAGTACTGACACGCTACAGTGGATGGTGTCGCCCGCGCACTGCGAGCTCCTCCCACCGACGCTCCTGCGCCCGCAGAGCACAAAGCCGCCGGTGCGATAGAGGTCCAGGTCGGAGGGCCCCCACCGCCTACAGGCCTGCCTAAGGACGCCGACCCCGCGTTTTGCATTGGCCTCTTCAAGCTCATCCTCTCTGCCAAGGGCGTCAACAAGAACAGTCTGGTCTATAGGACCTGGCAGTCGGTCATCAACCCCGACTCGGATGAGGGCTGCCCGCCAACGGTCAAGAACCTCACCCATTGGAGGCCCAAGCTCTCCGACGCCACTGCGGACGCGAAGGAGTATGACCCGAGAAAATACAGCTCCACCTCCTCATTCTCTCTCGGTCTCTGCCACGCCACATTCGGCACCTTCTACACCTGTCCCCATGGTGCCGAGTGCCCTTGGCGTCACTCCAAGTTGACGTACCCCGAGACAGACTGGCTGAGGGACATCGGAGCCAACGACGTGCTCGCCAATCTCAAGTCTTGCCAGTTGAGTGGAGAAAAGATTCCCCGTGTCGTTGAGCGTACTGCCTGGGATGAGTGTTTGTAGCACAAAGCCCTACCTCTGGGTCCCCTCTCGGACACGTTTACCGTTGCGGGTAGCGGCGGCGTCGTGCCTGCGGGCTTTTGACTCCTAAAGTCCATGAATTCTAGATGTCCTGAATGATTCAATACGCATTCCCATGATGCAATAAATCATGAAGGCCGTCACGAGCTTCTCGGTGACATCAGATCGCCCATGGTCAAGGTGGAGCGGTACAAAGCCCTGATCGTTGAACACAACGACAATTATGGCCCTCTATCTGGTATGTAGCCCGCAACGATAGTTCGACCCTGCTAACAAACATGTAGTCAAGATGACGTCTCTCAAATCGGAAAACAAGAAGCTGTCCAAGCAGCTGCGCGAAGCCAGCGACCTGCTATCAACGAGGGACGATCGAATGAAATCCCTCGAAGCCGCCGCCCGCGAGTACCAGGCTAAGATTGAGGCGCTCGAGAAGGACCAGGCCAACGAGAAGCTGAAGCTTGAGGGTGTTCAGCGGCGACTGGACAAAGACAGGGCCCATAACGACACTGTCGAAAGCAAGCTTACTGCCGCCACCACTGCCGTCTCACTTCACACCAAGACATCGACGAAGCTCGCTCTACGCGTACGATTCCGGGATCTGACGATTACGAACCTCAAGGCAAGGGCTGCGTTCGAGCACAACAAGGTATCTGAGGAGCTCGACCGCGTCCACGGTGAGCTTGCAGCCACCCGGCTACAGCATGAAACAAAGACGGTGGCGGAGCACAAAGCCTTTGAACACGACCTGTCTCTGACAAGAATGCAACGCGATGAAGCCTACACCAAGGTAGTGGAGCTCGTGCGGCACTCGAGGCTTCGGACAATGTCTGTGCTGCGCAATTGGCGAAAACACAGACTGTTCAGGCCGACGGTGTTAGGTTTCCACAGCTACTCCTCACTTCGCTATCAAAGAATGTCCTATTACGCACGCGCATGACCGGTATGATCGCCTTGCTGGGTTTATTCATTGCCTTCCCTATGAGTCTCGAACATCGTCTAGCCCTTAAATCCAACGCCTTCGATGAGTTTGAAGCCAAGCACAAAGCCATGTTTTCGTCTTTTGATAGCGCTACGTTAGCAGAAAGACCTGATTGCACCCAGGTAGCGCCTATGGTTCATAGTCGCCTTGGTTCGATAGATAGCTCAAGGTCTGATCCTTTCCATGCTACGAAGCCTTTATGGTGATGCTATATGTTCTTACAATCCAGCAACTCAAGCAAAGCTAGTGAATCGCGCTCGTCAATTGACGCTCGTCGTACGCCGCGCCGATGGCATGCAAGATGATTGAATTTGCTATACAAATGTCTCCAGATCGACAGTGTCGATTTCGACAGCTAGCACTCTGAGTAGCAGGATTGCTGTATGATGTGTAGAATGTGACTTTCATATTCGACGCGATGTCCGCTATGTATTACTCTCATATGCACCCTAATGTGCGTGTAAGTCTAGGTATTGGACTTGGTCTAGACATTCTGGGTCTAACCATTGTCGCTATTACGCTACGTCGTAGCCAGAACTTATGCAACCTATCCGATGCGGCATGGTCATGAGATGTAGATCGCAGATGGAAGATTACTAGTGCTTAGATTAGGAGATCCGTGTCTAGTCTCGTCATCCCAACGGTGCGAATTGAAATGCGCAACAGAGCGAAAATCTCGCCAAAAGAGCTAGATCATAGAAAGGTTTGAGGGAAATTATGAGTATGGAACTGATGTAGGCATACACCTGTTGTCCCGAAAAAGGTCAACATCGTTAAGAGCTGAATCATCGGACACTTATAATATGATGCGCCAGTAAGGCGCAGCCTAAGACCAGGCTTTACGTATCTGAAACGGAAACATTTGCTATCTGCGCCTTTGTGATTCATGCTGTTGTTTGCTTCTACCAGAGCTAGTATCTGAAGGCCTGCGAGCGCGAGGTGTCCGACGGTCGTCTACGTATAAGTCGGCATTACTGTTCGTTGCCGGCATGTATTGTGTTTGGCTGCCCGTTGGGATATAACCGTACTGCGCAGTGGGCCTCTGTGAACTAGGCGAGGCGTAGTGGCTGGTACTAGGTGCAACATAAGCCGGATTTTGAGAAGCCATATAGCCCGTGTTAGTAGGGTGTGGATATGAGAAAGTAGGCGTGGGTTGCAATTGGTTTCCGGGTACTTGGTAAGCTGCACTGCTCGGGTAAGCTTGAGACGGATAGTTGGATGCTTGGTATGTTGCATTGCCTGGGCTTGCGTATGCGCTCGTGCCCGGACTTTGGTACTGGCGGTATGGTTCTCCGTTGTGCACCGTAGGCGTGGGTGTTGTTGAGTCCGGTCCATACCCAGTTTGCCACCCTGGAGCTTGACTCGACTCAGTAAACGAATCTTGTCGTGTTTGGGTTGGAGCTGGCCCAAAGGTATGACCATCGTAGAACTTGGTATGACGAGCTGGTGGCAGAGGTTCCGCATCCTCGATTCCCCAATGCGACTTGAATTGGGCCATCAGTGTCCACTCGTCGTTGGGATCAACATGACCAAAGTCCTCCACCTTGACATTGTGCTCAACGGTATAGAGTTTGAGGAAATTGACACGCGACTTTGGATCCATGGTATTCCACGGTTCTTTTCCTATCACACGGATAGGCTGGCCCATGGGTGGCTCTGTCGGAACGATTTCTGAAGCCGTGGCTCGTGGGGGTGCCGTTCCGGTGTACATGATGGCATGATGGCTGTTCGGCTTATTTTCTGGGACGCCTCTGCCGCCATATGTTTGGATCGACCTGCAACTGTTAGACTTGATGACAACTAAAACAAAACCTCCGGAACTAACAAACAGGTACAGCAATTGTGCCCTTCTCGGATTACGACGAACCAACGGATCTTGTAATAAGTCTTCTCTCCAAATGCGCCGGTCGTTGCAATCGTAATGTCTTGCTTAACATCGCCAGCCAGCTCAGGCCATAGCACGCGGAACACAACGCCACGTTTGTAGAAGTTGTAGCCCGGGTATTGAATCTGGAAGCCTGGCACACAGTCAGTGAACTGTTTCACCACGATTGAACTGGACATACTCGGTTTAAGTCTCTCGCTGGTTCCATGTCTCTCAGATCCCCTGAGAATTCTTCGCGGCCACCGACCTTGGCTCAATAGAGGAAAATCGGGCGGCGTGCTTGATGCATCGGGATGTAAAACTACTTCTCGGCCAACGTTCTCGAGCAACTCGCCATCAGATGGTCGAGAAGATGTAGGTACATGGGTAGGATATGGATTGGGCGCGGCGGCGTTGACCCCGATGTTTTGGGGGTACCCGTACTGTGGTAGCGTATAATTGCTGCTTGGATATGGGGCGAAAGCTGTGTTGTGATTAGTGCAAAACGCCCTTGAGTAGACGTGTGGCTCGAGTCAGCATTCTCACCAAGGTTATCGGGTGCTGTATCGATATGGTTGACAGAAAGCCGTGAGAAGGTATTGGCGATATCCACGTTACTGCCTGTGTCAACCGCGTTATGACCATGTCCAGCTGCACTTTGCGATGTGCTAGCAACTGCCTGGGCTTGATTACTGCCTACGCTCCTGTCACAAGAAGCAAAGTCAGCTTCGACCCTTGGAAGGTACCGAGGTAGATAGTAGTGCTAGGTGGCCACGTACGCTGTAGCAGGCGTTACTGCAGGGACTCTCAGACCGTTGGCGTAAATGTATGTGCTGGTGCCATAATCGTAATAGTAATAGAGTTGGCGAGTGTAATCATACAGGTCATACCGCTGCATTGTGTGCACGGTGCGACGGTTCGTGCCCCGCCATGATACGGGCCTACCTACGGTATATAGCGCATCCAATGCCGCATGTGATGCGGCTCCAAAGTCTTCATGTTAGGTGTGATATCGATGAGCATGTTAGATTGATGGACAGCTCATCTTGCAGTCTGCTCTTGTCCATGTGGCTTTTCCGGTGAGCGCGCTTAGATTAGATTCATGGATGCGTATCTCCCGGGCAGCCTTAGCGTGATTGGCTTTAAAATGATGCGCGCCCCAAAGTTTCCTACAGCCACACGCGACCAGGACAACACCCGCCCTACAAGACATCAATACCATAATTTCCATCAAATTCGACTATACTTCCAACATCACAGAACTTTCTGGTTGTAGCATTGACGACTTGCGAGATGTTTGACAACTACCCTCAATAACAAGCCCAAGTATTTCACCGCACGGAGAGCAGCGGCGTGAGCCATCTCACTTACATATTCCAGAGCCCACGATGTAGTCACCGAAGCTGCTGAAATGAATAGTGGTAGCGAAGAAATTCTGCTTCGTCAGACCTACGCACCCGGACCGTTCACTTTGCCATATCATACATCCGCCACTCAAACGCGACAGGACGAATACCCGACCGAACAACGCGCGGGTTCATCTGTCAAAACCTTTATCACCTGTAACAACATGTCGCAATCGCCTCTCGCAGACCACAGTTCAATAGCACAAGCACAATTCATGAAGATATGGCTATCCCATAGGTCGCGCATATCTTCGTTACGAAGTACGATATTGGTTATGCGAACAAACCTGAGAAAAGAGAGGTTGCAGTGTTGGCATAAAGAGGAAGTGGAACAGAAACTTCAGGCACAGTGTCTGACTAATCTCAGCGAGGATGCTATCTACAAGAACAGTACTGAAAGCTGGGATCACTGGACCAAGACATCTGAAGAGCTCAAACGTTGCAGAGCCGATCTGATCTCTTCGCGGGAGCAAACCGCAGCGCTAGAAGATGCCCTGTCCAGCCAAGAGTATCAACTAGACCGCCTGGAAGAAACCATTTATTCCGATTTCGCTCGGTCAACAGATCAGGAAGGCCCATACCAACCGGTACAAACACCATCAAGTTTTCTCCACACTGCTTTACCAATAGACAACGACCATGATCATGACATGGGTCTACTCGAAAAGCTCTATATGCGGATGGGCGATATACGCATATATCACGAGAGATTAAGCAACTTCGAATTCGACCTTCGTGAGCGTGCAGAAGAAAGAGAGCTCATCCGCGCTGCGGGGACCAGTCAACTTTCTACTGACGCTGTATTCTTCGACCGAGCACGGGTGCAAAGATCTAGAATCCAAGAAGAACACACGAGGGCACATGAGGATGTACATTTACTCAAACAACAGTGTACCGAGCAAGGAATCGAATTTCAAGAACCAGAGTTCGCCAAGTCGATGTACTGTACTTTGCTGGAGAGCACTACCCCGAGTTCCAGCTCAATCCAGGCGCCGCCAAATATGGTTGGGGATTATTTTGCATCCCAGGAGCGCGTTGAGACATGGCTGGGGAAGCCCACAGAGCCTGAGCTCCACGTATCAGACGATGATGAAGAGACAGATCACCAGGAGACTAGCAGGCATCCAGCATCTCCTGATATGGTATGGATATCATCATCACGCCCAGAAAAACAGCCACATTCAGATAAAGGCTTGCGCAGACGGTATTCGGCCCCGTACGATATGTCGCAATGGCGAATGACTCCATCTATCGGCTCGCACTCGCCGGAAGTTATACCTCGGGCCCCGGCTGCACCAGGCCTCGGAACAACTCTGCCTCACTTAGAGACCCGAAACCTTCCCAGAGTCAGGCACTCCCTTGCAATCTACGAATGATACCTAGGTACTATTGATCAACGTAACTCGCAGCGAATGGAATAGGAGGCATACAGACACGGTGGCGATTACACAGGCTTCCACACGGCTCCGCGCTTACTCTTCGTTCTTGCCTGCGGTCTGACTCACTGTCGCACAGTGAGTCGCATGTGCTCAGCACGTTGGCCCCGTATGTTTGCCACCAATGGCATCGCAATTTGTTATCGGAGGAGATCATGATCACTTGGACGACAACTTGTGTCCCAGACACATCTCGAAGTTCAATGCTATCTTATTGGGCGCCTCGTCGGTTATGCACACACAGCCTGACAA